CCTTTTGGCTTTGGCCCAACCACTTCATTAGCTCTGGAGCTACATGTACTTGTCTTCCGCTCTTCCTCAGTAGCATGTTGGACGCCTTTTGACCTGAGGGGCCCATCTTCCAGCGTCATATCTTCTAGCCTTTTGTTTCTGATCATGGGGCATTCTTGGCAAATATACTGGAGTGGCATTGCCATTTCCTACTCCAGGTGGATTGCGTTTAGTCGGAACTCTCCACTATGTCGTGTCCATCTTGAGTGGCCCTGCACGGCATAGCCCATAGCTTCTCTGAAGCTTCCCTTCAGCCATGACAAGGCAGCAATCCATGAAGGGAGATGACTTAATAATCAGCAGCAAATTGCCACTTATTCAAGGAAATTCTAGGGTGCACATAACTTGGACACAAGACGAAAAAGTCACATGCACCCTGAAATACTTAAAGGAAGCCTTCAATCTGGAGTGATCTGCCATTGTTGATTACATCATCACTGTTGCACTTGCAAGGTTATGCAACAGGATTTCATCCATTTTACATTTTCATTGGCAATATTCTATACACGTTCTTCTTGAGAAATTCTTCAACAGCAAGGATCCCATAGCAGCTACTAGCAAAATACAAACAAAACTCTCACACCTGACATTAGTATGCTAGGTTACCTGCCTTTATACAACTGAAATTTACAATCTCTGTGTCCTCTGCCCTAAATGACATTGGAAGAGTTATCTTTCTACAACAATCAACCCTTGTGATACACACAGATATTTTCTTGAGTACAAAATGACCAACTTCACCAAGCAGGTCATGATTGTACCCTGAACTGGCACTAAATTACGTTGGCTGGAATAGAGGGAGACTCAGAATCATTGGGCGGAGAGGAGGGGTGATGGTGAAGCTGTAACATTTTCCCCCATCCTAGAAATCCTGCTTTTGAGAACTGGGGTGGGGAGAAGTTATCCTTATCCACCTGGCAGTGATACTGCTCAAACTGGAATGGACCTAAAGCCTTCCGCTGCTGTGAGCCTAACTAGGATAGCTGCCTCAACGTTACCACTGGGGAACTGCCATGCTGAGCAAGTAAGTGTTACTGCACCCACGTTCTACTTGTGGTGATCCCCAGGGGAACTGGTTGGCTACATATAAACAGAAAGCTAGCAACAGGTCACTTTTTGTTGTGTTCTTAAACCTTCCTTGCCTCAGATTCAGAGGCAGTCTGATGGTTACTTCCAATTCAAAATAATGCCAATTGCCAAGTCCCATTCACAGGAGTAGGAACGTATGTTGTACCTGTGGATATTTAATTATTGGGGAAGAATGAAGCTTTATTATGTTGCAGGGATTTTAAGAAGAGGCCAAACGGGGTTGCTTTTCAAGTTCCATTTCAGAAAAATGGATACTCTGAAGATTCCCTAAATCAATCAGGGTCAACTCTAAATTCAAGTGGAGGATGTGATTGGCTGACTTCTATCCTAGATCAAAGTACAATATTTTTATAGATTTAATACAGTTAGAAATGGGAAACAGCCATTTTTCTAGCTGTTCCTGTAAGATGGTGGTGGTGGTGGGTTAATTACAGAGCTAGCAAAAACTGGCACTGAGATTTGTTTTAAAAAAATAAAGTTTGCCTTGAAGTTCTTCTAGGCAATTAGATGGGTAAAATCCTTAATCATCAGTGTTCTACAAGACATCAGACAACTCAAGTAGTTTCTGGTTCCAATAAAATGTTACAGCATACAAAATAAAGCACATTTGATCTTCCCATTAGAACAAACTACTTTTAGCATGTCATCTAAGAGACCGTGTCTCACTTTGGCCACATTCTTGTGTTCAAATGTTGGACACCTCCTCCCTTTCCCAGTTGTCTGACTCCACTTTTCTTGTATGTGAAGTAGAATTAAATTACAGAATGCATAATAGAAATCTGCTGCTCAACAGCAGCCAAAGAGAATATTGCCTGGTCATGGTCTTGGAAAAAAAGGAGCAGTGTTACAAATTCAGCACAGTCTCCTCTTGGGTGGAGATGAATAGAAACATGATGACTGGGTAGGGAGCAAGATTTTCTTTGAACATAAACCTCAGCTGTAATTAGCAAGAAAAGATACACAGAACACAGCTGCCTGCACCAAATATGCAGACAGCTGCTTAGAAACTATCCTTCCCTAGACCACTGTGATAATTTTGGTGTTATTATTATGCATAATTTATATAGCACTGCTTAGTGTACAACCTATCCCTTCTTCATATTCCCATAAGACAGGTTGCTGTTGTTTCTGAGCATATAGATGCAAATAGGAGCTGAAAGATAGGTAAGGAATCCATGGCTGAGTAGGATTTTTTGGGTCTGAAGACAGTATGCTAAATGACCTGTATGTGAGGGTGAAACTCTTTTTGCATGAGTTTTTCTTCACAGTAGAATTTATCCCAACTGGTGGTAGGCTATTAGAAAATGACCCATTTGTCATGTTGTATGGATAAAGATCTGGCAGCTACTGCTTCAAGGTCTTCTATTCATCCTTTCACACATTACAGCATTATTTACAGGACAGAGTGTGTTAAAAAATATTACCATACAAGTGAGTCAAGATCAGCTGCAGCTTTCTTTTCCGTGTACATTTCATTGTAAGCTTGCTTTTCCCCAGTGTAAGTGGTGGAACGATCCTTGTATATGTGTTATATGCCATCAGATCAAAACTGATTTAAAGCGACCCCAATAGGAATTTCAAGGCAAGTGAAATATTTGAGGAATGTTTTTACCAGTGCCCCAACTCAGTGAATTGCCATGGTCAAGGGGGAATTTGAACCCAGTCCTATACTGTCACTCTATCCACTACATCACACCAGATATCTGAACAACTCTTAGTCTATTTATTTTCTCCATGTGTTGTCTTCATGGTCCTTGAAATTCAAGGCATGTTTCATATGGTCAATTATATGCAAGTGTCAATGGTGGTATACATTATTTGTTCATTTTTCTCCATCTAATATGCAAAGGAGAAAATTCTTACCACATCTCCCCTTTAGCAGACCTAACAATGCAAACTGCATAAAGAGCTCTCACAATCATGAGAGAGCCAAATGACATTGCACTCAACTTATTACACAGCCAAAATCAGAGTATAGATAAATTGCTCAGCTTTCAACTACTACTGCTTCCTCATATGTCGCAAAGCTGTTCGCATGGATACGACTTATAGATTTCTTTCTACATCCCAGTTATAGAAAGAGTCCCAGACAAAATTTCTGGGAAATATTAGTAGATTGGGATCCCATGGCTATGGAAACATATCTGACACATTTAAACCTATTGTGGAAAGGTGGCAATGACATTGTACTCTTGTTCTCAAGGAGGCAGTATCTTTGCTGCATCAGTCACAGCCTTCTGCAGCATTTTACAGAAAAAGGCAAGTGGCTACAAACAAGTATGCTCTCAGATACGGATGTCTGATTCCTTTCTTTAGTTCATAAGAGTAGGGTTCCGAAGACAGAGGTGTGAAGACACCAGAAGTACAGATACTCTGATTATGCTAGTAAGTACAACTGTGTCCTTCCCTGACAAAGATATTTCAACTTTAGTGCCAATGGACTGTGCTGGGGAGGACATTCAGCTGGACCAAACCATCTTAACCCAACTGTTATGAAATGGGCTCAGTTTTAATTAGGGAACCTCCAAAGGTTTAAAGCATAAACACACATGAAGGTATAAAGCTTTTTATGAATGAGGCTTGCATTATTAATTATTCTGCATGCTATCATCACACGGAAAGAAACAGTGACTGTTTTTATAAATTAGTGTTCAGTCCTGGAACAGGATGTAAAGGAGATACTACTGAAAAAGACAGGAACCTATAAATAAAGGCTGGGTTGGCACTCTGTGTGTGCACATTCATGCAATATGTACAAGAGAAAAAGAAGAAAGACAGATTGTACCTTCATCACTGGCTGAGCAAAATACTTCGCACTCCAGTCACAAAAGCCTGTCTGCATTGTTGCTGACATGAAGTTTTTGTGCCCCACAGTATCATCAGCATCATCAGTTGTCTGCTCAGAACAAGAGTCAAGGAAGAAAAATACATATGGTTCAGTCAGAGAATCTTATATTCTTGTTTATCTAGGTGCTCACATCACAAGAACCACAGCATTTTGTCATCATCAGTACAGTTGTACTTACTGAATAATTCTAGGGGGACATAAAGGAAGCCAAAGCAGAAGATAATAAAGCATTTGTGAAGTCAAGGGTGGTTCAATTTGGTAATGACTATATGTTGCCCTATATATACTTTGCTCTGTTACAGAGTACAAAAGTTAGTCTGCCTTTCAGGATAGAAATACATCTTGATCATTTCAGTAATATTACATCTTAGGGCTGGCCACAATTACCATGTTCCCCCAAAAATAAGATAGCGTCTTATATTAATTTTTGCTCCAAAAATGCATTAGGGCTTATTTTCAGGGGATGTTTTATTATTATTTTTTCATGTACAACAATCTACATTTATTGCAATACAGTCATTTCCTCTTCTAGTTGCTGCACAATGGTGGAGGGTGGGCTTTCACTTGACTAGGGTTTATTTTTAGGGTAGGGCTTATATATTATGAGCGTCCTGAAAAATCATTCTAGGGCTTATTTTCAGGTTAGGTCTTATTTTTGGGGAAACAAGGTACATGTTTACCAAAATTCTTCTCAAATCCTTTTCAGAGTCTTTATACTCTGTATAGTCAAATTATTTCCATAAATGGTAATGTGGAATGAGGTTAAGCTATCACAGGAACACCCAGCCTGCCTTTCAAAGGCATACCGATAACAAGGTAGCTAAGGCCATCTTTTACGTGAACAAACGTTAGAGAACCTCATTATTTATACTCCTTATTTCTTCTAAAGAATTCCAGATGTCGTACATAATAATACTCTCCTGCCCCTTCTATCTTACAATGATCCTGTTAGGAATGGCAGGCTTGAAAATCATGACTAGGCCAGGATTAATGAGCTTCAGGGCTGAGGAGGGATATGAATCTGTATCTTCTCAGTCTCAATTTAACACCGCAAGCTCTAGACCACACAATCTTTTAACAGCTTCATTCCTCAGTTCCTGTTGCATTTTCCATAACAATTAGTAGCTTCTCTGAAATGAAGCAAACAAGGTCAGAAGACAAGACACTGTTCTCATCTATATCACTGACCATCAGGAATAAAAACACTAAAACTTGTATCCAAATGTAGACTGTATTTCAGTAATTGTGAAAACAGGAGTTAGATGCAGATTACATATATGTCCTAGTCAAATGGCAAATACTGCTATAATATCTGCCTGCTTAAGTCCATTAAGGAAGAAATCAAATTAAATACTTCCTGCTATATTTTAATGCAACTGGAGTACACTGATATCTCAAAACAATGTACAGTACACCTTTACTTTCAAGAAGCATACATATTTATAGTATGGGGCAGGATATAACTAACTATTTTAAATATTCTCCTCTAAATGAGTTGAGATCATTACATAGAATTCAAGAAAACACATTTGCCAACAGCTGGAGGGCTACTGAATATTCTAACTATGGAAAGTACAGTGGGGTCTTGACTTGAGAACTTAATCCGTATTGGAAGGCGGTTCTCAAGTCAAAAAGTCTGTAGGTCAAGTCTCCATTGACCTACAGTGCATTGAAAACCGATTAATCCCGTAACAGGCCGTTTTTATTCCATTTCGTTTTTTTTCTGGTCTGTAAGTCAATTCTCAGGCTGCAAGTCAAACCTAAATTTTGCGGCCAGACAAGTCTGTAACTCAAAAAGTCTGTAAGTCAAGCCGTCTGTAAGTCAAGGGTCCACTGTATCAGGAAACTTCAGCAGGTCCAAAACACAGCAGCCATATTGCTGACTGGGACTGGTTATAGGGATCACATAATCCCCCTGTTACAGCTCCACTGGCTGACGATCAGTTACCGTCAAAATTCAAACTGAGAATTCCAACCTATAACACCCTCAACAGCTTGGATCCAAGCTATCTCAAAGACTGTACTTCCCTTTATGAACCTGTTCAGGTGCTAAGATCATTAGGGGAGGCCTTTCTCTCGGTCCCATCACCTTCACTAGTGCATTTGGAGGGGACACAGAAGAGGGGCCTTCTCTGTTGCTGCTCCCAGCCTCTGGAACTCCCTCCCACAGAAGGCCAGGCTGGCCTCATCTTTGCTGTCCTTCCGCAAGCAGGCGAAGACCTTTCTCTTCGGGCAAGCTTTCCCTGAGTGAATGGCTGCTGAGTGAGTTTTTTTAAAATGGATTGTTGTCCCTTACTGCATTGACTGCGTTTTGGTGTTGCTTACATTTTTTAGTACTGTATTCATTGATCCTTTTAGTATTGTATACTCATTGTTAATATTTTAAATATGGTCTTTTAATTGTTCTAAGCTGTGTTGGATCCTTTTTAAAGAGCAAGATGGGTTAAAACATTTTAAACAAACAAGCAAGCAAGCTGCCTATGTATACTCATTATTTTTAGTTTTAAATATTTTTTTAATGATGTAAGTGACCCTGGGTCATTTTTAAGAAGAAAGGAGGGGTAAATATATTTTAAACAAACAAACAAATATTAGAAGCGGAGGTGATTCTTGTTTTCTAGAACTCCCAGCTGTCAACATCAGGATTTCTAGCTAATAACATTTGAAGGATATTTGTTTTCAGCAGCTGAGAAAAAGAATGTCAGTAAGTACAGCTTTCCCCATAATTATTACATGAAAAACATCATGTGAACATTCTCCTATCCCTTGTGAGAAAATACGATATGCAAAGGAGTTATCTTCTGTACTACATCTGGCAACTGAATCTGAAAGTTAGAGCTGATTTGCATGATTGAAAAAAAGATGTAGGTGTTTTACTTTATGGTGCCTGCTGCAGAAGACCTGGCAGAAGAAGCCGCAGAGCCTGCTTACACATCTATCTTTTGCATGGATGCTATAGCTCTGGCTACATATATACCAGCACTCAGAGAACAGTGATGATTAGAAAAGCAACATAACGTAAAGTGTAATAAAAAGGTAACATAAAACATAATAAAAAAGTAACATAAAACATAATAATAAAAAGGCTGCTGTCTTCATTTCATGGCTTTCTTATTTATTTCATGGATCTTTTCTCCCAAAATATGATTTCAAGTCAAGTAACCATAGAGTTGGACAAAACAAATACAATTAAAACATAAAAGAAGTTCAAACATGAAAGATTAACAATCCAATTTAATACACAATAGTGGAAGCAAATATGATACCAACCTGGCAACAAGCTGTTTCTGCAGCAATGAAAGTCAACAGCCAAACACTCACTTACATAAGAATGTCTTTGCCTGCCCATAGTAAGCTGACAGAGAGGGAACTTCCTAAAGAGTTCTAGAGCTTGGTTACAGCCAGTTATTGTTTTCATCTTTAAATATAGTCTTTTAATGATGTACGCTGTCTTGGATTCTTTTTAAGGAGAAAGGTGGGGTAAATATATCATATTTGCTTCCACTATTGTGTATTAAATTGGATTGTTAATCTTTTACGTTTGAACTTCTTTTATGTTTTAACTGTATTTGTTTTGTCCAAATATATATATTTATAAAAAATATATCGGAGCAGGGGATTTTTTTGAAGCAGGGGACAAGAATAAGAATATATATAGGAGCAGGTTCAAAAAAAAAAAATATATAGAGGAGCAGTTTAAAAAAAAAAAAAAAGAAAAAAGGATTCTTCTATGAAGATTCTGAAACCTCAGAAGGCTCATAGGTTGGCCAGCTACACTATATACATGTTTTCATAACAGTATTTATTGCCTTTTATTTTATTATTAAACCATACTGGTTTTATTATTCTAAAGCAGGATATAACACTATCAAGAAAATGATGGGCAAGCAAATAAGTAAATAAATAATCCATCCAGCTATCCATCTTATACTGGTATTGCCAAGATTAGAGAAAAAACTAAATATGCTGTAGCAAAAAAGAGAGGAGAGGGAGCAAAAGAGCCAACAGCATTGCAGGTGCAGGAGTTCAATGGGACAACCAGCATGTGAAAAGAAATACAGTGGTGCCTCGCAAGACGGTCTAGAGGTCGTTTAACGACGAAACCGCATTACGACGATCTGAATCGTCAGATGGTCTGAATGGGGCTTTTTGCTTTGCGATGATCGGTTCCCTGCTTTGGAAACCGAATCTCACAAAACGACGATTTTAAAACAGCTGATCGGCGGTTTCAAAATGGCTGCCGGGTAAACAAAATGCCCCCCCGCTGTTTTCTGGGATGGATTCCTCGCTGCACAGGCAGCGAAAATGGCCGCGCTATGGAGGATCTTTGCTGGACGGTCAGTTTCAAGCCCATAGGAACACATTAATCGGGTTTTAATGTGTTTCTATGGGCTTTTAAATTTCGCATTACGACGTTTTCGTTTTACAGCGATTTCGCTGGAACGAATTAACATCGTAATGCGAGGCACCACTGTACTGAGAAGGCAACACACTTTTACCTGATCTGGGCCTTTGTCAAACATCTTCCTGGTTCTAGGAAACTGGTGAGAGTGGGGTGTGTATTGTACCCCTACACTGCCTGCATTTGCAGGTCTTACAGATGAGATGTCCCGGCTGACAGACTGTTTTGTCACATCATTCGTCAAGCTGGAGCTACTTGTGCTTGTGGTTGGCGGAGATCCTCTAGCAAATGGGAAAGAAAAACAGATATGAAAATATGGCTGAAAATATTCTTTTAAGTATCTGCACTGTACTACCTGCCTTTAGGAGACACAATGTGACATCTGTTACCTGTTGTTGCTTTGCTTACTGCTACTCATTCTCAGGTTTTTTTTTTAGTCTACAGTTGTTTCCAAGCTGGTAGCATTTTGCCCTTGCCCTAGAGATACTGAGGAAGAAGCGTGGGGTAGGAGATAGAATTTTAAATAAATACAGGAATTATCTACAGCTTAGATCCAAGTACATGAAATGGTATAGCAGGATTTACTTTCAAGTATTTTTTACTCTGATACCACCAAGAGATTATACATGACTAAAGGGTTACTCAGACAGGTCACAATTCTCTTGATAGTGAATCTCTAAGTAATGTGATCTGCTTTTTAGAAATTGATATTAGTTGATTTACTTCTTAGATGTCTAGAAGATGCTACACATCTTGTCGCTTTTGAAGAACAATTTTTTATGACTTGAGTTCATGTTTTGTGAAGCTGATGATGCAACCAATTTCCACGGCATATGCCCCATGCAACATAAACACTCATGTCACTTCACAGACATTGTAGAATAAGATCAATACTTTCCTCAACCCAGACATCAGATTTCCTCCTATGATGGCCTCTGCACTAAGTCATGGAAACCACTGCATGTGCCCATACTGGCTAACTTCTGAACAAGAGAAATACAAATATCCTTGATATGGAATGAGTCAGATAATTCAAAGGGCTACGTTTAAAGTGTTATAGCTTTCATTGTAAGGACTGTACCAGATAGCTTTTATTTGAGGAGAAATTTGTCTTAACTGCTCCCCATGTGACACATTTTCCAGCTTGTCACTCCAGAGAAGGGGCTTCAAAACTAGCCAAATGTTAATTGTATCCACACAACATGAATATAGATTTGCCATTAGGCATGAAGTCATGTAGGTACGACATGGACTTAGAAGTATCAGCAACTTACCCCACTTGGTGTATGTGCATGCCTTTGTTTGTAGGACTGGCTGGGGCAGATTGCGTGAGAGAGGAAGTATCAAGGATGCGCTGGGGGCGGGCATTTATAGTTGCCTAGAAAACAAAGAATTTAACCACTGAGAGAGAACAGCTGCCAAGTTCTTTTAAATCTTGCAAACATAACTGAATTCATAGGATGAAAAATGGGCGGGCACAGGCTGTCAAGGGAGACTTGGACTTCAACACTGCTGCAACATTTCAGTGCAACTTATATGCCAGCTGAAAAAGAGTCCATATAATTAATGCATGTTAATTTTAAAAAGTTCCCACTTAATATGTAGTATCCCTCCTCACTGGCACTTTGAGGAGAGAAACTGTCACAGAAAAAGAAAACATGTGGTTATCTTCATGACTGAGGCAAAATATTCATTATATTATCAATCTGACATAAATATCAAAAACATGAAGTATGAATACAATGTTCTTTACATATATTGTGTCAATAAAGTTCCAGAAACAATAACATTTATATCTACAAACAAGCAAAGCTTGGCTCAGAGGAACAAAAATTCCTAGTGTGTTCAGAGGTAAAGAATTACTTCCTGTTCCCATAACTGCAGTCCCTTCACAATAAATTCTCTTGAGATACTGGGTTGTGTGCAGTAGTAGCTTTCAAGGCAATAAAAGTGAAGCAAGAAAATAAGTGGAGGAGCTCTTGCAATTCCCAGAAGTAAATAGCTAAACCTCCTTCACCATTCCTTGAAATTCTGGACAAGGGAAAGAGGGATAGAAACAGAGCACAAGAAACTGTAAAATGGCAAGCTTCTAATGCTACAGAACCTTCTGTTACAAGGGTGTTTGTCAAATCCAAAAGAGACTGAGCTGATGGCCATTAAGATCCCAGCTGTCATACAAAAAAGGTGTAAAGTGCCATGGACAAGGTATTTGGGAACCTGCAGAAATAAATAGCATAAACAGCAGACAGTGTTCTAGCAGTATGTGCATTTGCACTTTACACCTACAATTTCTGAGTGCACAGAGACTGTGCAAGTTGTTCTGGAAAGCACATATTATCTGTCCACCCTTGTTGAACAGGCTTGCCAAAGTGGCTTTCTTTTCTCTTCCCAAAGAGTCACAAAGCTATTCATGGAAAGATTTGCATTGTGTTGTCCTTAAAAGAAAAGGACTCAAGCTGTTGTGGATGCCATTGCCGTGAATTGTGAATTTGCAATGGCACTGTTCCAATCTCATTTGTAAGGGTGAAAAAAGCTGCTGCCAACATGACAAGTTGCCTTTGGGGTCAAGCCGGCTGTCCTTCTCATCATAAAAACTGGCCATGGACCTGCTTGGCAATACTTTCTACATTTTTTTTAAAAAAATCCTTATTTGCTTTGTCAGCTATCCTGCGGATGTTTCACATTATGTTCATCTGATTCATAAAAATAAGAATCTTTATACTTCTCCTGGGATTTTCCTTCTCCATGTGATCCTCATGATTATAAATAGTTCATGCCAGTTCACATCTAGTTAAATTAGCATATTACTGGCAATCTCTACTGCTTTGCTCCCCTCCATCCCATTTATTCAAACAAAGGAAGTTGCCCTTGAAATAGCATTGTCACATTTATTGTCTTATCCAGGCAATAATTATCTATGTCTTCTTCTTCTTTTTCTTTTTCTCACTTTCTCCTGTAGGAAGTCTGTGAATAGAGAGATCGTTGAGCAAAGAACAAGGCCAGTCCTCACAGCCTTTCTCATTGCTTACATGGAGACCTCTACTGCTCTTGAAGCTTTGCCACTTGTTTTCCAATTACTGTACTGACAAAAATGAGTTGCTTGGGTGGAAAATGGGAAAAGCTTTGGATCTACTTGATACAAATCTTTCAGTCACACAATAGCCCCCAGATAGCGGGAGAGTTAGGGTACTCCAGCCCTGGAATTGGCATCTGCATTTTATTTCCAAGTAGCCCTCAGCCCTCGACAATTTTTGAAGAGCTTTGTCTTTCACAATTTGCTTGCCTTAGGTTGTTGTTCTTCACTTCCTTTAGATTGTTCTATTGTCCATTACAAGTTAAACTCAGGATACATAAATGATACAGTGGTGGCGCAACACTTCTGTGCAAACATTTGCTCTAAGGAAGTGATTCCCAGCCTTGGGTCCCCAGATGTTCTTAGACTACAACTCCCAGAAATCCTGGCCAGCACAGCCTCTGGGAGGTTTAATCCAAAAACACCTGGGGATCCAAGATTGGGAATTATTGTTCTAAGGCATCCACATTATTGAAATTCATAGCAATAACATACTGATATTACACTTACCGGTAATTTATATTACTAGAGAGCCTGAAACACCATTATTATGAAATATTATTCAAGCAAATTGCAAAGACAGCCCAGCATGGATGATTACAAATAGATGGGTCAGTTATAGCAGATAAAAATAAAACCTAGATTCAATACAGGAAAATTACACGAAAAACAGAACATATTTTGTATGAATCATTAGAGCCCTGGCCCTTGCTTTTTACTGAGAGATCATAGAAATTGCAAGGATTTCAAAATGTGAACAGTTACGCACTGGACTTCAGCTGGGCTGCTTGCATTAACACCTCAGGATAAGAAAAAATAGATGGGCAATAGAATAAGTGCATGTAAGAGCTTTGTAAATCAAGGTCAGAGTGTGTCGTTCTTTACATAATTCCTTACGTACTGCACAAACCAGCAATTTAAGAATAAACACTTTTCCTGGTTAAAAAATACAGAAAAGGATGCTATAGGAGGACAATTAAAGATGACTCATCATTGACCAAAAATCTGCAGAGGCAAGCCAGAAAGAAGATCCTATTCCCTAAGGTTATTGACAAGTTTTTGTTGTGGTCCCACACAGTTTATTTTCAATATGATAACAGCGACACAAATGTACATTAACACTCAAACCAACTCCGTCTATGTCTGATTTTAAGCATACAGTAAGGACAAACCTTGTGTCAGCAGCCAACCATCTCTCTGAGAAGTGTGTTTTTTATTTATGTAGCTGAAGAATAAACTGATTATTTATTTTAATAGTACACATATCAGACCCCTCCCCCTGAGGACAGAAGATGTGAATAATAGAACTGGAATGGTCACTAGGGCTTGGTGCTTCTTTAGGCACAGAATTGCCTGTCAACAATGGTACAAGGCACAACTGTTTGCTGCCAAGGTTACCTTAACCTTATCATTCATAGAAAATGATAAATTGCAGCAATCTGAAAAACTCTTTGGTTAATTTTAACTACTATGTCTTGCAGTGCAAGCTCTAGATCTGCACCCAGCTCTTCAACATTTATACACCAATAAACTAAGATACAGTATTTCACTTTTCTCATGTTACAGACAACAATCATGTGAAAAAGAAAGTACACCCTCTTTGAGTTTTATGTATCAGAACATAATAAAAATCATCTGGTCTTTTGCAGGTCTGAAAATTAGGTAAATATAACCTCAGATGAACAACACATGACACATGTATTGCACCGTGGCATGATTTATTTCACAAAAATATAGCCAAAACAGATAAGCCATCTGTGAAATAGTAAGTACAATTTATGATTCAATAGCTTGGAGAAACACCTTTAACAGCAATAACTTGAAGTCATTGTTTTCTGTATGACTCTTTCATTCTTTCCCATCGTGCTGGAGAAATTTTGGCCCCTTCTTCTTTACAACATTGAGTCAGTTCATTAAAGTTTGCAGGCATTTGCTTATGCACATCTCTCTTAAGATCCCGCCACAGCATTTCAAATAAGTTGAGATCTAGACTTTGATTGGGCCACTGCAACACCTTGATTCTTTTCTTTTTCTGCCGTCCTGTTGTAGATTTGCCTGTGTACTTGGGATAATTGTCCTGTTGCATGACCCATTCTTTTTCTGCTGTTCTGTTGTAGATTTGCCTGTGTATTTGGGATAATTGTCCTGTCGCATGACCCAATTTTGGCCAAGCTTTAGCTGTCAGATAGGGGGTCTCAGATTTGACTCTAGATCACTTCAGTGTACAGAGGAGTTCATGGTGCCCAGGTCCTGTGGCTGAAAAATAAGCCCAAATCATCACCCCTCCACTGTCATGCTTGATAGTATGAGGTGTTTGTGCTGCTATGCTTTGTTTGGTTTTCGCCAAACATGACACTGTGCATCATGGCCAAATTTCTCCACTTTAGTCTTGGCTGTTCAAAGGACATTGTTCCAGAAGTCTTTTCTCCACTTTGGTCTTGGCTGTTCAAAGGACATTGTTTCAGAAGTCTTGTGGTTTGTCCAAATGCAACTTTGCACAAAAAAGCTGTGTTGCCATGTTATTTTTCGAGAGAAGAGGCTTTCTCCTGGCAACTCTTCCAAACAAACCACACTTGTTCAGCCTTTTTCTAATTGTACTGTCATGAACGTTAACATTTAAAATGCTAACTGACACCCGTGGAGTCTGAGATGTAATTCTTGGATTTTTTTTGCAGGTTCTCTGAGCATCACACAGTCTGACCTTGGGGTGAATTTACTTTGACGTCCACTCCTGGGAAGACTGGCAACTGTCTTGAACATTTTCTGCTTTTGAATGGTCTTCCTCATTGTAGAATGATGGACTTTAAATTGTTTGGAAATAGCCTTATAACCCTTCCCAGATTGAGGGACAGCAACAATTGCTTCCCTATGATCAACGCTGACGTGCTTCCTCCTTGGCATTGTGTTACACAAGTGACAATGCTGACGTGGTTCCTCCTTGGCATTGTGTTACACAAGTGAATGCTCCAGACATGCTCCAACTTTGGCTTTTATAGAGGTGGTCACACTTGCTAATGATTAATTACTCAAGGACATTTGGTTAGCAGCACTTGGCTGCAACTAGACTATTAATTCCCATATGAGCAGTAAGGGTATACTTTGTTTTTCATACATGGTTTCTCCATTTTGGCTTTATTATTGTGAAATAAATCATGACATGTGTAATATGTAATGTGTTGTTGTTCATCTGAAGTTGTATTTACCTAATTTTCAGACCTGCAAAGGACCAGATGATTTTTATTATTTATTTTATTTATTTTATTTATTTATTGGACTTATATACCGCCCCATAGCACTACAAGCTA